ATACTGTACTCATGTATGACAAACCACAACAAGAAAGGATACTGTACTCATGTAGGACAAACCACAATAAGAAAGGATACTGTACTCATGTATGACAAACCACAACAAGAAAGGATACTGTACTCATGTATGACAAACCACAATAAGAAAGGATACTGTACTCATGTATGACAAACCACAATAAAAAAGGATACTGTACTCATGTATGACAAACCAGAATAAGAAAGGATACTGTACTCATGTAGGACAAACCACAAGAGAGGATACTGTACTCATGTTGACAAACCACAAGAGAGGATACTGTACTCATGTAGGACTGTATGCTGGCTGTAAGGTTTATTAAAGTGTATTTAATTCTTCTATTATTATTATTATTACATATGTTGGGCAAAGCATAGTCTAGTTGTTAGTATGCCTGACCTTTGAATCCTGTTAGCCATGGGTGCACCATAAGAGTGATGGTCAAAACCCTTTATTCTGTGAGACAAGGATAGCCCAGTAGTTAGTAGTGGGTACCATTGACTAACTGCCTTCTCTCCAGTTTATAAATTTAAAAATGGCTCCTGTATTGCACTGACCAAACAGTCTTAAAAAAATGAATGTGAAGATTTAGTAGAGTTATTGAAATCTGGATATTTGTTTGTCTTGAATAGGTTTTTGTTACACACCTCTAAATTGATTTTTGAAAAAAATGTTTCATAAAGAGACTCTGTTTGATATAGTTTAACCTTTTTTTCAGGAAACTGCTTGAGAAAGAGTTGGAGACTGTAGGAATTAGGCTTAACAAATGTAAGCCTAATATCTATTTTAAGGTTAGTGTTATCATTTATGGGAATAATCCAGACCTTTCAGTGATCAATATTTCATTGTTTCTGTCTTTAAAGACTGAATTTCATTGCTATATTAAACCATATAATGTTCAGGGTTTTGCTATTAGTTATTAAGGTAGAGTATTATTTGAGGTTTTTAATTCCTCACAGTGATTTGAAAGTTAAAGTTAGTAAACATTTCCATATGAATTTTAAATAATTTATATGTAAAATGTATCCAATTTTCTGTATATAGGAGAAAAAAGCAGGTGGCATTGCTTTTAACTCAACATGTCTTCTAACCAAATGTGATGAAAAACTTGTTCAAATGATCCTACATGAATACAGTATCCTTTCTTATTGTGGTTTGTCCTACATGAGTACAGTATCCTTTCTTATTCTGGTTTGTCATACATGAGTACAGTATCATTTCTTGTTGTGGTTTAAACATGAACAAAGAATCTTGATGTAGTGTTCAAAATGTAAAACAGGCTACAGTAAGATATAACTACCCATGGTGCTTCTTTACAGCCAGCATACATTGCTTTTCATTTTGTACAGTACAGCAAGATTCTGTGTTTATGTTTATGTTTGCTACAGTAAGATATAACTACCCATGGTGCTTCTTTACAGCCAGCATACACTGTTTTACATTTTGAACACTACATCAAGATTCTTTGTTTATGTTTGCTACAGTAAGATATAACTACCCATGGTGCTTCTTTACAGCCAGCATACATTGCTTTTCATTTTGTACAGTACAGCAAGATTCTGTGTTTATGTTTATGTTTGCTACAGTAAGATATAACTACCCATGGTGCTTCTTTACAGCCAGCATACATTGCTTTTCATTTTGTACAGTACAGCAAGATTCTGTGTTTATGTTTATGTTTGCTACAGTAAGATATAACTACCCATGGTGCTTCTTTACAGCCAGCATACACTGTTTTACATTTTGTACAGTACAGCAAGATTCTGTGTTTATGTTTA